CACAGGGGCTGGGGGAAGTGCTCAGGGCTGAGGCTGCTCTGGTCCTGTCCCATTGTGGAAACCCCAGATTTAAAAAAAAAAATAATCAAGATTGGAGTAAATCAGGCACGAACAGTGTTCCATGACCTAAAATGCTGCATTCAACAAGAGTTTGCAGCATACCATAGTGAATGACAACATTAACGTGAACTACTTTTCTGGCTCCTCAAAATACATGAAACATTCACAAATTGGACTAATATTTTGTGAACTTTTGTTTTACATGAGTTTTTTCTTTTAACACAGGCTCTTAAAGTGTGGCCCTGTCCCTTCTGCGCCGTTCCGTAATGGGAACACAGACGCCAGATTCTGTTTCTCATGGAGACATTGACACAGATATGTTATGTTGCACTCTAGTCCGTGGGCAATTTAATGTTAGAATAAGAAACATGTTTGGTATGCCAAGGTTGCAGGTTCGATCCCCAGTCAGGGCACATGCAAGGATCAACCAATGAATGCATACACAAGTGGAACAACAAATCGATGTATGTTTCTCTCTCTTCTTTTCTCTCTCTTTTCTCTCTCTCTAAAATCAATAAAAAATTAAGAAACTTGTCCCATACTTCTAGTGTCGAAAAAGGTGGCTATGGAGAACACTTTAATAGCAAAGACTAAATGTCCAGGGAATGTGCTATAGAAGACATATGCCTGTCACCTGCTTGGGTACCTGCGTGTACAGTGTCATGTGTGCAGGACACAACAGTTTCCTTTGTTGGGCCTCTAATCCTGGTTGTTTTGAGTTGCTCTTTATGTAATTCTTTTTATATAATGCAATATTTTAAAGTCAAAAGAAAATAGGTTTTTCTGTTTGAATATTTTGAGACTTTTTTTTAATATCATAGGCTAAATCGACTATTCGAATGTTAAATAGACTATATCACTTTGCATTTTGTAACAATATGCTTTAATAAAAAAAGGGATTGGATCTTAGTGAGTATGTACCAGTGGAGTTCATGGAAAAAAAAAGCTATTTATGATTGCAAGTTTTGATAATTGAAAGCAAATGTTTAATTCTGAGCCTAATTTGAATCTAGCACATTCTCAGCTCTGCCTCTAGTTTCTAACCAATATGTTCACAGATAATATACATTTTAAAATTAGTTATATAAATCATCCCAAGGCTTCTTGAATTATCATTTTTCCTATAAAATGGCTCATTCCTTCCACATGATCAACATATGCGACAGACAGAAATTATTATCCCACTTGAGAAAGCTTCAGAGAAGCGCAGTGTCTTCATCAAAGACACACAGCATGCTGGTGGAAAAGCCAGAAAGAGTACTATATTTTTCTTCTTTCTCATCACATCCTTGGCATTTAAAAAAAACTTTTAGGCTAAAAAATAAAATTGCCTGTCTCCTTAATCCTGGAATGATTATTAACACATGGACATTCACAGGTTGTTTAGAGAGACTATAAAAATCTCCATGTGTTTTAATCTTGGAAAGTTAGCATGCTTTACAAATAAATGAATACTCGTTGAATGCACATTAAAAAAGTCTGAGTTTTCTCTCAACACCTTCTTAGCCCTTGCACCCTTCCACATAAAACAGAACAGATGCTTCGGGGTTAATTAAAAGAGCTTTGTAGACCTGCAGGGGAACCGGTGGGTGGGAATGTGATCAATCCCAGGCTCTGATGCCTTTTCCTGAGTGTCTCGGAGCCAAGAGTGGGAAGGGAGTGCGAAATCTTTGGCCTCTAATCAGAAGTAGAATCACATTAGCATGGACTTGAATATTAGAGAATAAAGTAATATGAATTAAAGACTCGTTACTGAATTTTGAATTTATGTTCTGCAATCTAAGTCTAATCTTAGTCATTTAAATATTAAGTACAAAAGAAAGAGTATAATTAAACCCCGATGGCAGTATCTCAGGCTGGACGCTTAGTTCTGATCGTTTTTCCCTCAGGGTCAGAGTGCCAGCCCTTAATAGGTGCAGCTGGAATTTTTCTCTCTGGTATGTGAGGGCACTAAAACACAAAGAGGAAAAAATGAAACTTTGTAAAGTTCGGGTTAGATAATAATTACTTAATAAGCCTTAAGTAATATTAACCAAACACCTGCTAGATCCTTTTACATGTTACTGCCTTGGTCCCCACAAAAATCAACGCATTGCTAATATTTTGTATTGTTTTCTTTGCTCTCCCCATAAAGAAATGAGAACTTGCCAAGTTAAGGGACTTGAAGTAATGTAGCAGCAAATTAAAATTTGAATTTAAACCCAGTTAAGTTTGATTCCATGGCCTCCACTTCTTCCACATCAATAAAATATTTCATGAAAATCACACTTCCTTTTGAAGGAAGAGAGGAACTGTCGCCTGGATATAATCTCAATATTCTTAAAGAAAGTTGAAATATTGAAGAGCCGAGCTTTCTGAATATCTTTTTTCTTGAATACTTTACCACCTTTAAAAATTTTACACACGTATATATTTATGTAAATCCCTTACCATGGCCATAACTAAACATCTGAGTCACGTGGTCTCTTCCCACAACCAGCTGTTTACAGCTTTTTGGGGCTGGGTAATTGAGCCGTATCTACCTCCAATAGCTCCCATTCCAAAGTATTGTTACTTAAGTACTGTTAACTAGTCTACTAAGCTAGGATAGTCGCTGAGCTATAAGAAACATGTTTGCTGAGTACATGAGTGAATGCGTTATATTATTGCCTTGATTTGGGAATTTTATCAGTTAAAACTGTACCACCTACCTAATCACAGATTTTAAAGGAGGGGGCCCTGGAAGACGCCACTAACAATTAATCATGTGAATTTTAGTCTGAATCCTGATTTCTAAAATGTTAAAATGTGTTTTTTATATTGAGGAAGTAATAGCACCTCGATACCCTTACCTTTTCCCAAATTACATCTTTCACCTTCACCCCCTCTCTGGAACCCTGCCATTGCATCCATTCATCTGCCAGCCTCTAACCTTCCTCATTCCCAGCTGCATAAGCGTGACTATATTGCTTTGTCAACACGGCTGTTTCCCACTGAACTATGTTAGCATCTCTCAAGTGTAAAGCCCACTCTAGGGAAATTGTATGGAGTAGCTTTCTACTGAAATTTTCTGTGGATGATTAAAAAATGAGGTTTCATGGGTTAGAAACTTGTGACTTGCTTAGGACCATAAATCTATGGTTAGGCCCATATGACATTTATGAAGATAGTCTTCAGTACACCTGATGCTGCATGAGTTTAAAAGATGAGAAGTATCAGTGTATTCACTAGTAAAGTTTCACGTGGGGAAAATTTGTAGGAATAATAATTTGTTGTAAAATGATGGATTAAGTGAAAAAACAGTTGTATCTTTTATGCGTTTTGACTTGACTATGAATGATTTTATTGTGTTTCTTTTTCTTGTTCTGAGAATGAAATCGTATGCTAAGTTGACTACTAGCATTTCTTTTGTAGTTTCCCCCATCAATTTCTTGCTGTTTCGCCAGAGGAATGCAGAAATACTGGATTATTAGCTAAAGAACTTTGAAGTAAGACCTTTGGATTCAAGCTAAGATTTTCTTTAAGGGGCAGACTCTGTTCAAATCCAAAGGGAGTAATTCCATACATGAGCTTGCTGTTATTATTTGGGTTTTATGCATTTTGTTACATTATTTATAGCCACATTACCTCCAGTGAAAATCATTTGTTAATCCCATTTATTTAATTTTTGAAATATTGTCAAAGTTAGTTGGGCTGCATTTTTGCTACTTAGAGACACTAGTTTGCCCTATGTGGTCTATGGAGTGAAAAGATTTGTCTGAGAATCTTAATAATCAAATTCTTAGATTGATATTTGAGACTTAACTTTTTGGAAATGGAGATAGCAGGATACTATTTGGATGGAAGTACCATATTCTACTTACTATAATATTTGTTGATGAATCAAGGCCTCTGTTCCCAGCTTCAAGCAGAAAAGCTAAATTATCTTGGTTAGAATTCTCATCCATCATATGCTTCAGTTTCCCACTTGTCTTTCTTAATTCTTTCTTGGGATTTTGCCAGAGTCAACTAGAAAACGGCTCATGTACTTTAAGCTTTGAGTGAAAAGACATTGTAAAATGTCTCCGTTACCAAAACAAATACAACCAATTTGTGATTACCCGCTTTGTGAGCTTTCTTCCAGAAATCTTTAATCCCACAAGAGCTTCATTGGCTGCTCAACACAAACCTGATCATTGCAAATTCACCTCATAGCTAACTAATCTGTATGTAGGTAACACAGAATGCTTTCAATTCACCTATGTCCAAACTGAGCTGTAAAACACATCGACTCCAAAATGCAACCCAATTCTCAGGCCCCCAAAAAATGCATTTAAGAACACACTCCCAATTTTTGGTTGTCCATTCCGCCTCTCCCCTGTAGAAGCAGGAGTAGTTTGTATGCTAAATGTGGATTTTTAAGAATGCGTCTGTGCTAATGTCAATATCACAATCCAAGAATTGTTCTTTTACTATAACAATTTAAAAATTATAACAGGAAATGCAGCTATCATTTCTATAGTAAGTCCATCAGTTTAGTGATTAGAATTAACCTTTGTCATATATCTTTAGATAAATAGGCGGATAAGAGCGTTAATCAGCATAAAACTCTGGGGCAGTAATGGGAGTGATTTGCCTGCTTTTTGGTATTAAGCAAATTTTTCAAATTCAAGTGGTTGGTTCTTGAAAGACACTTTTATCTTGGCCATTTGATCAGGCCAGACTCATGAGATTTTTTATTTGTGGAGCATGTGACAGCTTTGACACTTCACCTCTGCCCCCATCGAAAGTCCTGGAGCATGACCTTTGTATTGGGGCAAGCGAACTCATGGAAGTTAGAGCCCCCACACCCACTGACCGTTGGCCGTGAACCCTGACTATTCTGGAGATGAACGCTACTGCTCAACATAGCCAGCCATCTTTTTACCGTTGGCTTATGGCTAAATAATTTCTATTCCTTCATCTTTTTTTTCTTTTTACAGCTGTTGTGAACTTGGACAATTCTGTGGTTGACCTGGAGACTCTGCAAGCTCTCTATGAGAATGTGAGTAATAGAAGGAATTTTAAGTGTGAGTATATAATACATACACAATACTTGTCACTGTATGCATCTAGGCTCGTTGCTTTAAGAAGGAAATTTAATCTGGGTGTACTGAATTTATGTAAGTACAGATTTGTTAAAATGTGTTCTAGGAACATACTGAACAAGTGTGTGGTTTGTAGTTGTAAAGATTGTGATTCAAAGCATGTTGTATGTGAGGCCGTTCACATTCCCTCCTTTTAGCTATAAAAATAGGGAATATTTCTGTGGAGCCTCATTTGAGCTGAGTACTGTCCTGTGCGCTAACTCATTTAGTCTTCCCATGAAAACTATAGATAGGTACCACTGTTTTCTCCGTTTTACACAGAGGGAATTTAGGCACGGAGAGGTTAGATGGCCTGCTCGAGGTCACAGAGCTGGTGTTGTGGCGTAGTTGGGATTTAATTCATTTGGGCTTCATTTCTCTAAACTCCCACAGTTTATTTTAGTAAATGGCAGGGCATCCTGGTCTCCTTTCTAAGCCGTCGGCAGGAACAGTGTAAGGTATCGGAGGAGAATGACCACGGCGCGGTGCAGTCCAGGCCTGCGGAAGGCACGGTCTATTCGGGGATATATGAAACGGTTTTAGCTGGGACGTGGCATTAAGTAGCATGGATTCACCCCATAAGAAAGCAGTTCTCTTTTCAGTGCTTTTGATTATATCTGTGAGAAAGTCTCAGGATGGCCCTGTTTTCACTCTAATAATGTTGGGTTCTGTTTTCATTTTGTTTTTGATCTTGCTTGTGCTCTGTCTGGTTTTTAAGCTTATATGCTATTTAGGGGCATGGCCTTAGTTGGTCGTTGGCTGTTTCTTTGCCAAGTCAAAGAATCCTGGCTTTGGGAGACACATGTGGACAAGATGCAGACTCTTCCCTAAACACTCCCTAGGGACAGTGTGTTCAACCTGCCTGTCCGCCCTTGACTTTGGTACTTTTAAAAATACATACGTGGTTTCCCCTGTGAGATTAATACCTTTGTTAAGAGAAAAGATTTCTCATGGTGCACTGCACAGAATCCATCAGTTTTAGAGTTGCTACCCAGTCAGCCAACACAGGCTGTCAGACCAAATCACTAATGAAGACTGAGAGCGAAGGTTGAGTGGTTTATTATGTAGCTTTTGCTTCATGATGGAAAACTGGAAAAAATAAATTATGTATGCAATATATTAATAACCCAGTGAAATAGATATTCAAAACATAATCATTTAGAGGTACAGAGAGTTCTCATTTCTCTCGAATCTTTTATACTAACCCTCTCCGAACCAGGAGAGCCATATGGAAGAAAGGAGAAAATAACAGGTAAAGTAATTTCTTCAGCAGGTCATAATGACATATGATGTAACTCTATATGTGTGTGTGTGTATATATATATATATGTGGCTATTTTTCTTATGCATACATTATACTGGGGTTAACAACAATAAGTTTACAGTTGTGAGTACACAAAACAATTTATTTTTGTATTATTATTTATTATTGTATTATTTATTTGTATTACAACCGGAAGCCTACCTTGCCCACCCTTGCATAAGCATCTATACATGTGTTTACATATATACATAATATATATGAATGTGTGTATATTATATAAAGACATATGAATGTCTTATTTTAACCTGGTGTATCCATGTGCAGAAATGTATACAGAAACAAATGCAGAAATTTAAAAGTCAACTATATTAATGAGAGAACATTAATTTGCAATAATTTAGAGTATTTTATTTGTGTTTTTAGCCTTTCAAAGTAAATTAGTTTCACAAAATATAAATTTCTGATTCTGAACAAATCAGATAGCTACCCAGGATTTGTGTCTTCTTAACCTCATTCTCCATGAAAATAGGGAAGTGGAATGGCTGGGTCCTATAATAGATCTATTTTTAATTTTTTGAGAAATCTCCACAGTTTTCCATAGTGGCTGCACCAAAAGTGTACAAGGGTTCCCTTTTCTCCACATCCTCACCAACACGTTATTTGTTGACGTTTTTTACAACAGCCATTCAGACTGGTGTAAAATAGACTCTATACATATATATGGATATATATTAATGTCATGATAACCACAAACCAAAACCTATGTAAAACACAAATATAGGGAGAAAGGAACCCAAACAAAATGCTAAAGAAAACCAGCAAGTCAAAAGAAAAGAGATGAAGAGAAGAATGGAAAAGAGAAGATAGCAACCAAAATAAAGAAAATGGCAATAAGAACATACCTATCAATAATAGCTTTAAATGTAAACAGACTAAATGTTCCAACCGAAAGACACAAGGTGGCAGAATGATTTAAAACAAATAACAAGACCCATCTATGTTATCTCCAAGAGACTCATTTTACACTGAAAGACAGACATAGCTGAAATCAGAGGGATGGAAAAAGATATTCTCTGAAAATTGAAATAAAGAGAAAGCTGGGGTAGCAATGCTCATATCAGACAAAATAAACTATAAAAAAAAATGTAAAGAGGCAAAGAAGGTAATATAGAATGATAAAGAGACCCACCCAAAGAAAGGATGTAACAATTATAAATATCAACATACCCAACATAGGAACACTTATATAAAACCAATATTAATGCATGTAAAAGCAGATATTAACAGCAATACAATAATAGTAGGGGACCATCTCAATGAGAAGTTATCACACAGAAAATATGTAAGGAAATGATGACCTTAAATACCACATTAAACCATACCAACTTAATAAGACATTTTAAGAACATTTCATTCCAAAAATGAAGAATACACATTTTTCTCCAGTGCACTTTATGTTTTTAATGTCACATTTTATAACTTTTTGTTTTATATATCCCCAGTCTGTTTATTCTATAATACTTACAGTTAAGTTTGCTTCTTTTATGTTTCAACCTCCATATTAGCTTTTTAAGTGATTTATTCACTGTTTTTTATTATGTATTTACCCTTACCAGTGAGATGTTTTCCTTGTATTTTCTTATAGGCCTTTCAATTCTTTATAAAGAAGACCTTTTAAAATTGTTGTAAAGCCTGTTTATTGATGGTAACCTCCTTTAGTTTTTGCCTAAGAAACTCTTTATCTCTCCTTCAGTTTCAAACAACAGCCTTTCCAGAAGTATTATAGGTTGTAGCTTACTTTCTTTCAGCACTTTAAATGTTTCCTGCTACTCCCTTCTGGCCTGTAAAGTGGCTGCTGAGAAATCAGGTGATAGGCTTAAGGGGTTGTCCTTGTATGTGACTTGCTGTTTCCTTCTTATTGCCATCAAGATTGCTTCTTTACCCTTAACTTTGCCATTTTAATTAAAATAAGTCTTGGCGTGAACCTCTTTGGGTTTATTTTGTTTGGAACTCTTTGTGCTTCTTATACTTGGATGTCTGTTTTCTTTTCCAGATTAGGAAAATTTTCAGCTATTATTTCTTCAAATACATTTTTTGCCTCTTTCTCTCTTCTCCTCCTGGAATCCGTGCGATGCAAATGTTAGAGTGCTTGATGTTGTTCCACAGGTCCCTTATACAACCCTGATCTTTAAAACTTGGTCTTTTTGGTGCCTTGACTATATGATTTTCACTATTCTTACTTTCAGGTCACTAATTTATTCTTCTTTATTAACTGATCCACTGTCGATTTCTCCTAATATAGTCTTCATTTTAGTTATTGTAGTTTTTACTCTGATGGTTTTTTGTTATGTTTTCTAACTCTTTTTCAAAGTGCTCTCAGTTCCTCTATTCTACCCTGAAGTTTGTTGAGAACCCTTATGAGCATTTCTTTGAATTCTTTACCAGGCATATTATTTTTCTCCATTTCATTAGCATTTTTCTGCAGAGTTTTTTCTTGTTGTCATTTAGGACATGTTCTTCTGTTTCCCCATTTTATTTGACTGCCTGTGTTTATTCCTGTGAGTTAGATGAATTAGCTCTCTCTCCCCATCTAGAAAAAGTAACCTCTGTAAACTGTGTGATGGATGGTTTTAGCAGACCAGTTGTAGTTGAGCACGGTATGTGCGTAGCCTGTGCTGCAGCCTCTGCTGCAGCCTCGGCAGGGTGAGTGAGTTTCCTGTGTGCCCTTCTGATCTGGGTTGGGCTGCTTGATGTGCACGTGGCTTGCCCTGTTTCTTTAATTGTCTGTTGCAGGAGCTGAGTCCGGGCGAGGATGTGCTGAGTGTGGCTGTTGTAGGTCTCTACTAGTTCTGTACTTTCTCAGCCTCTGGGTAACCCTATGAATTTTATATTTCTTTTATATTTTGTAAAAAAAAAAAAAAGGGAGGGGTATTTTGGTAGAGATTGCAGTAAATCCGTAGATTGTTTTGGGTAACATCAACATCCCAACAACATTCAACCTTTCTATCCATATACACAAAATGTCTTTCTATTTCTTTGTGTCATCTTTAATTTTTTATCAACATTTTACAGTCTTTAGTGTACAAGTCTCACTCTCTTAATTAAGTTTATGCCTAAGTATTTTTTATGTTATCGTAAATGGGATTGTCCTCAAATTTTACTGAATTAATTTATTAGTTCTTAACAGTTTTTCATGTGATCGTGAGGGCTTTCTATGTATCAAATCATATCATTCTAAAACAGAGGCAATTTTACTCTTTTCCTTTCTGATTGGTTCCCTTCCCTCCTCTCCCTTCTCCCTCCATCCTCTCCCCTCCCCTTTGCTTTTCTTTCTCCCTAATTGCTCTGGCTAATACTCCCAGTACTGCATTGAATAGAAGTAAGAGCGAACAGCAGTGCCTTGTTCCTGATCTTAGTGTAAAAGCTTTCAGTTTTCCACCACTGAGTATGATACTTGCTGTGGGCTTGTCACATGTGGCCTTTATTATGCTGACTAATTTCCCTCTGTTCCTAGTTTATTGAGAGTTTTTGTCATGAAGGGATGTTGAATTTTATCAAATGCTTATGATGAACACACAACTTTATCCTTCATTTTGTTAATGAGATGTATCACATTAATTGATTTTTATATATTGATCCATCCTTGCATTCCAC